AAGCTTTTCTTTTATTAAACATATATACATACTTTTTTACAACATAAACATTTTTACACAAAATGTACAAGGTATACAAAAGGTCATCAAAAACATCAGGGACAGTGTAGCCACTCCTCCTCGCACGTCGACATCCATCCGACAGTGTCCTCACCTAGGTCCTGCATTGACTGAATATAGGGTGTTTTGATGTGGTCCTAAGAGCCATGTTAAAACACTAAAAAACAACAGTTTCAATTATTCTTATTAACAAAACTAAAATATATTTATCGATTGATAGATATCATCAAAAGTTTGTATGATTGCATGTATTTAGCATCTAGACTCTCACATAGACCTGTTTGTTACCACAGGAGGCTTACAAGAGGGTTCCAACTGGCCCGCGCCCACACCTGATCGGCTCGCCTCTGGCTCCCGCTCGGGCTTCCATCGGTCAAACTTACCCACGGCTGTATCAATAGCTGTATCAGTGGCGGGTTTTGTTGTTAACTACCTCAGTTGAAGCAGATGTAATATGTGATGTTAGGGTTGGTTTATAGAGTACAGATTTTTTTTGGCGTGTATTTGTCAGTTCTTCGAAATTGAACATAGAGTAACACTTTTTGTTGTACCACTCTTATACACGTTTTAGATAATTGTGTGATTTGAAATATAAATAAATAAAGTATATTACATAATATGTAGAGAATAATTTGCATGCATAACATTGTTTTTAATACAAGATTCATTGATCATGAAATAGTGAACAACGAACATTTATACTCATTATAGATTATTATACGAAGTTATGATATGAGTTATTTATTCTATATTATGATTCATGTAAACATTATTACTGGGCTTATTATGTGTGTTATGTTTTCATTTCTATATTAAATAATTATTAGGAATTAGTAAATTATTAAATTGGGTTCAATGATATATGTATATTCTCTCAAATGAAATTAAGTTATACCTCCATTATAAACAAGGCGATCTGCAAACCCATATGTTTGCCGCTTTTTGATAGTATAGAAAAGAACTTAAAGAATTAATTACAATAACCCCCGATTCTGTAGTCACTTTAACCTTAATAAGGTACTTTTAAGTTTTAATATTCAATAAATATATAAAGGGTATTTTTGACTTTTTGATATACCTTCTTAAAATCGTGATTGTCTTTTCGTAAGTAATGTACACTTACATCACTCTTTTACATAATTGTATTACATCATGATATGATATGACATAAATTACAATCACACCAATTTTTAATTATTTTAAATTTTTAATATATAATAAAATTTAGTGATTGTAACCTATGTCACATCATGATATTATAAAATGACGTAAAATAGTGTAGGTATAATATTACCCTATTTATTTATTTATTTATTTTATTAATGATTGTCGACGAAATGATGGTTTGTGTAATTGACGTTTTTTTTTTTTTTTTTTTGTTTTTTTGGCAGAAAGCGACAAAGATATGGGTTTTTTTTTTGGAATTTCCTTATAAACACAAATAAAATCTTTTTTTTCTTTCTCCTTTGGTGACTCGAAAGAATAATGTTGACCGTCCATTTAGCAATATTCATTATATCTGTTTATAGATATTGAATCACTTTCCATTGGGTTATGACATTTTATCCTTAAGGTTTGGAGTATATTATTTACCTCTAATACTATCAGATATGAACTGTTCAATTCAATTAGGTGAAAGTTTTCAATAAAAAGTTTAAATTACCCTGTTATCTTATGAAAAAATGTTTTTTTTCCTTTAGGAGAGTATTTTTTTTTTAACTTTTTCTTTTGTATTTTATATTTCTTACATGTATATAGACAATAGGGGTATTATAGGCTTTTTATTGAAAAATATTATTGATTGGATTAAACTTTTCATATCCTATAAGTACTTATAGGAGGTTAGTGCAGCTCTAAATCTAAAGGATGAAAGTACAAATAACCCCTTTCCGTCTATCTACAATTATTAATTAATGGTAATGACATTAATCTGACTTAGTTATATAAAATAACAAAAATCTTTAAGATAGAGGTTTCAAAAATGACAAAATTCTCTTCCATTAAGTTTTAGATGTTATAATAAAAGGGTATTATCAGTTACATGACACTTTTATCGTAAACTTATAATTATTGGAAAATGACGATTTAAAATCGTAATTTTAATTTTATAAGGGTATTAAGATAATTTATGTGTAATATAGTTTATATAAAAATAGATTTTTTTAATTACAACAAATTCGAAAAAGAAATCAACAAGGAAACGACACATATCAAAATAAAAATAAATGAGTATACAACAGTAAAAAAAATAAAAAAGCAGAAAAATTAAGGAAATTTTTAACTATACTTTTAGTTTATATTTAGTTTTAATTTTTTAATATATATTACTTTATTTTTTAATTTGTACAATGGTGTGTGTATATTATAGCGATTTATTTTTTGTTTTGATTTTTTAAATAATAAATCACTTGAAGATGAATATTCAGTCATTAAAATATTTCAATTAAAGTTAACGATTTTAAACCGTAAGTATCATCTCATTATTTTTTAATATTTGTTTTTATAATTATATATTTTAATGAAAATATCCCCTGATTGATAATAACCCTAAAATAAATGATAAAAAATAATTTAATATTTGATTAACTCATTACAGAAAATTTCAACATTTACAAATAAGGAGAATTTTTATTATTTCAAACATAAAAAGAATTATATATATGCTTGAATTTCAAAGTCTATCTTTTCCATCTGGTCTTTTTCATCCGAATAATAATTAAAGATTATAAAATCACCATTAGAACAAAAGAAGTTTCTATTAAATAAATAGAAATCCACGTGTCGTTTTGAACTTGCCAAGTCAATTTTCTGCACTAGAAGTCAAAGTGAGACAGCTGCCTCCCTTCTCCATCACCTTCTATTTATTTTCTTCCATTAGATTCTCAAATTCTAGTTCTTTCCTTTTCAATTTTGATTCCCACAAACCCTAGAATTTCGCTTCCTTATGGCCGAAGGCTCTCCTTGCTCCGTCCAATTCATCACTAGTAATGGCAACTTTAATGTCTGACAGTCTTGACAACTTCCTTTATGTCCACCAACCTCCCGATAGTGACCTTTCTTATACCATCGTCACCATCATGAGCTCACAAAGTAGTGGTATATATGCTTTTCAAGTTCATTCTTTTATTTAAAATTGATCATGAAATTGTATCCATTGAACATTAACATACAAATTATTATTACAAATGTTTTTTATGTTATGTATGAGTCTATATTCTATGGTATGAATTCATGTTGAACATTATTACTGAGTTTATATAATGTCGTGTTATTAGTTTTAATTTCTATATTATGGCTCATATTATATGTTTCATTATAAACAAGGAAAGCTATTTAATATATCATTTTATTTTTATAAATTATAATCTAAATGTTTTTAATTGGTTATGCTAGTACTAGAGTCATACTATTTTTTCTAAAATTATTCTCCAAATTAGTATTAGAATTTGAGATCATAATTTCTTTAAACTAACATATAAATTACCTAATTATTTCTTATGAAAAAATTAAGAAATAATATATGTTTTTAAGAAGGGATACTAAATGTATATAAAGTGAAGAAATTGGATAATAGTCTTAATTAGGTAGTTAAGGAAATGTCAATTTCAATTTGACCCAGTAATTATTTCGAACAGAAAAGAATATAGTCTTCTTGCTTGGTTTGGTAACTAGTAGTTTAATTTAGCATAAGGTTTACGCCTTAAAACCCGCGTTGACTACCTTTGGATGTCATTGAATTTGCCAAACAAGCCGGACAACGGCCCACGAAAGAAAATCACATTCTAAATATTGTTGGATTGTAAAACCCTGAGGTTTATCAAGTAACAGATTCCCCCTAAGATTTCAGAAATAACATAAATCCTCCTTTATTAGTGAGTTGTTAGTGCACCTTAGAATTATAATATGATGGGTTAATAAATATTTATGATGCTGCTCCTCTACTGTTTATTTTAGCACAAAAAACTTAGTGATGGAGCAATTTTGTTATTATTATACACACTATTGGGGGATTTAATATTTATCATATTTTAGGGGGATTTATGTTATAAACCCTAGTATTCATGATCACACGACAGAATATTCATTTGATATGATATTAAATCAATCACTTTAGAGTTAAACCAACGTACAATAACGAAAAAAGTTTCCAAAAGTAAAGAGAAACCCACGTGTCGTCTCCTTGACTTGCCAAGTCAGTTTGTCTTTATCTCCTTCTTCCTTCACCTTCTAGTCTAATACTTGTGAGCTGTGACTGTCCACTTCATTTTTGCTATTAGACTCTCAATTCTACTTCTTTCTTTTTCAATTTGATCCCTCAAACCCTAGAATTTTTCGCTTCCTTATGGCTGAAATCTCTCCTTACTCCGTCCAAATCATCGCCGGTGACGGCAGCTTCAATGTGACGGTCTCCACCACTTCGTCCGCGCCACCAACCTCCCCGATCGCGGCCGCGACTACGCCATCGTCGCCATCGTGGGCCCACAAAGTAGTGGTATATAGCTTTTCAAGTTCGATCTTTTCAGATTTGTTCCAGATTTCACTGATTTATGAAGTTTAATTTGAAAAGTTTCCGTTGGTTTTGTTGTAATAATAAATATGATGCTGCAAAATTCGTTGTTTTTTAGTTAGGTTTGCACGTTTTCATTGTGATTTAATGCTCTGTTGCGTTAGTATTTGTTTTGTTTTAATTCTTAATGGTGAACAGGGAAGAGTACTTTATGAACCATCTTTTTGATACAAATTCAAAGAGATGGATGCATTTGAAGGAAGGTTGGTTGTTTGAGTTTCTTAAATTCGTTTATTTTGCAGCTTAATGTAAGAGATTCGTAAAATTATTTTTATTTATTTATTATTTGGGCAGGAGTCAGACAACTAAGGGAATTTGGATAGATAAGTGCTGGCATTGAACCTTTACCCTTGCCAGGATTTGAGGGAACTGATGGCTGTGAAAGAGGCGAGGTAATAAGCTTTGTGTCGATATCTTCAATTTGAACGGAAATGGGGTTATGTTTTTCTGTGAAGAAGGCCTGTGTAGCATATAGATCTTAGTTAATTTTCTGCAGTTATATTTGCAGTACATATGATATGAGTATAATATGCATATGGGTGTCAATAGAAGGTTCAGGAATTTTCATATGTGTTCAACACACTATTGCCTCACAGATACATCAGAACGTGCCCCTGAATTTTAGTTAATTTGTATTAGACTGAAACCAATAATACACGAGCTTTGTGGGGAAGGTGCTGTTATGAAAATTTTAAGCATTGCTAGTTAGAGTTTGTGTGATATTTCATTGCTCAAGTTAGGGGCTGAAGCTGGTTGACAATTTATAAGGAATCTTGATATTTTTTCTATTTATAATGGCAAACCAAAGTGAATCCTTGCTATCGTCAAGAGGTGATGTTTCATTCATCATAAGTTTGAATTCTGGAGAACCCTGTTAGCGTCAGACCAAATTCACAATTTTATCTTTGTGAGGCTTAAAGTTATTATAGTGCTTTATGGATTTCTAGGGATGCCTGTAGACATATTTTGCCCCTTCATTGGGGGGGAATTGTATGAGTGTGTTGATACATTTTCATCACCCATAAAGTGTATTGAAATTTTTTCAGGATGACACTGCATTTGAGAAGCAGAGTGCCCTGTTTGCTTTGGCAATTGCAGATGTTTAGTGATAAAAATGTAAGTCTCTTTGATCTAGTATATAGAGCTGCAAATATGTTGGCATTACAGACAAAACTTGGTTCGGGAATTACTGCGTTGACAAGTACAGGCTTTCCTACAAAAGGAGAATGGCCTGGGCTAATTAGGCTTGGGCTTAAAGAAATTAGAGATAAATAGTTTGTTGTAAACAACATGTCTTATATGATATGTGCAAAATATTATTATTCTTGGCATGATCTGTATAATCTACTTAGGCATATGTAGCTTCAGTTATGCATGTGAGTAGTCTAGGCTGATCTAGGCCTGGCATTCTCTAAGGTTGCCTAAGGTTTTTAAAATCTGGATTTCTCTGGTCATCGACCTATATGGCTTACATGGTTCCCCTCTTGCTTTTACTTTGGCCTGCCAATGTTAGCCCTTGTTTCTTAAAGTAGTATCTAAACAGGCATTGGTATCATTGCACTAATTCCAGGAAGCAGCATTTTATTAATTGTGATTTGATGTTAAAACCACTGTATCAGATAAGTTTTAGCAACTTTATTTTAATTTCTTCGTCCCCTCCCCCCTTAAAAAAAAAAAAAGATTGGTGAATTCTTCTTTTTCATCTTTGCTGGTGCTGTTGTCTCTACCAAAGATTATTTTTCTTACACATAATTTGATTTTGAATGGAAGCCTTTGATCAGAAATGGACACTGTTTAACATTCAGATCTACATCCTAGAGTTTCTAAATGTGTGGACTAGAGGCACAGAAAACTCATGGTAAAACAAAAGTTAGATGTCAGTTCAAGTGTTAATACAGTGTTAATGTCATTGTAGTTGGTGCCATGATATCGGTCGGGAGCAGGTTCCAATAGACCTCTTCTTAAACAGTTTTCAGGTACTCTAGCCAGCTGTACAGGGTCAATGTGTTATTGTCTTTTATTTGTATATACAATATTGTCTGGTATTTCACATAATGATCTGGTTTTCTGTGATGTATGCAGGTCATGATGCGTTTATTTAGCCCAGGTAAAACAACTCTTCTATTTGTTATACGCTGATAAAACAAAGGTGTGCACTTGCACTTATATTTTTCCTTTACACTCATTCCTTTGTGGAAGGGACTTTTTTTTCTTTTGAATCAATAAGTATTCATGACTCTCCTTGCAGACCCCGCTTGAAAATTAGAGTCTAATTTAAGAGAAGATATCAAGAAGGTATACTTATTATGTTTGCTCACATTCGATTGTTCATTTTTTTTTTTTTCCTCAGCATTTTGGTAGTTGGTGATTTCTACAGATTTGGAAGCAGTTCCTAAAACCGGGACAATGAAGGTGCTCCTCTTAGTGAGTTTTTTAATGTAAGTAAATGTTCTCTATTTCTCTAAATGTTCTCAATTTTCCTATATCTCTATGACTGATTCATTTTCTGGAATTGCGTTATATTTACCTTTTAATTATTACTCGACATGTAGGTGGAGGTCTGCTTTATCTAGCTATGAGAGAAGGAGGAGCAGTTTAAAGAGCAGGTAGCCATTATAAGCAGGAAGTTTATCAAACCTCTATTAAAATGGGTGCGACCTTACTGGGTCAACTGAGTTTGGAGTTTGTTGTTACATTTTCAGTCTACTGACATTTACATAAATAATCAGTGTTGGAAATCTTTGTGTCGTGGCATCTTGGCCTAAATAATTTTTATTTGTGAAAACATAGTTACAGTTGGTATCTACCGCTTATGATTTTGACATGACATGTAGGTTGCTGAGCTGAGGGAGCGGTTTTTTCCACTCCATCTCTCCAGGACTGGCTGGAGATAGCCGAGGAGTTGTTCCTGCCTCAGGATTTCTCTTAGGGCACAACGGATTGGAAAGATATAAAAGAAAACAAGGACCTGGATCTTCCTGCTCATAGGTTTATTATTTTGTTTCAGTAATGTTCTGTGACTTTTCAATTCACTGATATATATGTAATTTTTGTTAACATTTATCAGGTAATGGTCGCAACTGTTTCGTTGTGAAGAAATTGCCAATGAGAAGCTCCACTGTTTGTTTGCCAATGAGGTTCTTTTTACATTCATCTCCCTTGCAGGAATACTGGTCTGATCAAAATTGTTTGTTAGCAGTACTTACTTGATTTGTTGCAGGGTTGGTCGGCGTTGGAGGCAGATATTCAGTTCGTCTGTCCCAGAATTTAGAAAAAGGCTTGATGCTGTTCTCGATACCTATCTTTCCGAGTAAGTTCACATCTCTGTCTATATATTTTCAAGTCTAAATATATGATTACTTGTTTTATGTAATCGTTTGTTACTATCAAAATGCATGTGCTACAGTGTGTGAACAGTAATAGTGAACAGTGATGAACAGTAATATCCGTGAACAGTAATCTGCTACAGTAACTACGTTATGGGTGTTGTTTTGTGCGGTTTTTAATTCCTAAGCATAACTTCTATTGACACTACTTGGCTCTGATACCATTTATAGCAGGATCTTTAAAACACAACCAAAGTATTGAAGATAATGTAAAAGAATGAAGTAAAGCAAAGTAATTGCAATTGAAGTCAAGTCAATAAAAGAAAATATTGTAAGAATTGAAAATTGATTGAAAGTAAACAAAGTCAAATAATAAATGAAAGCAATGAAGAAAAACTTACAATCTTTATTGCTTTGATAATTGTACACGAGAGGAAACTTCTCTCTCTCTCAAGTGTTTCAAACTTAAAATTTTGTGATCTATCTAAGCTTTCTAAAAACTTGATGCGTACAAAGGAAGTGATCTCTATTATCTAAACACAGACCGGATTTCAAAAACATTTGAATCCGTTACATTATTGCAATACAGGAAAAAGATAAAGTTGTTGATAAGTGATGAGCTGTCTTGGATACGTGTCTGAATTATTGATGATTGCTCTGGAAATGGTAGACAAACAGATAAGGCTCATTAAAAGATTTCTTGAAAGTCTGCTTGTTGTCGGGGAGCTTGACAAAATATGTCTTGAAATGTTTGAAAAGCTTTGCAAAAGCCACGTGAAAGGATAATTCTGAAAAAGTCTTGAAAGTTTAAATTTTTTGCAGAAACCTTTTGACTAATTTGCTTCTGGGCAAGAGGAAAAGCCGACTGAGAAGAATCTTGTCAGCGCCGAAATTTTGAATTTTGAGACTTGAAATTATTGCAGAAGCTGAGTCATCAGCCTTTATTGAATTATAATTAATCTGGTTTTGGAACATGACAAAATAGTCATCCTCATCTTGATCGCTTGGTGATTTGGTGCTTTCTGAGTCTGCTTTTGAGATGTTGAAGATCCAATGGCCATAATAATTTTGTCCATATCTTGAGGATTTTGACATTGAGCCAACTAGCAAGGAGTCTTGATTTTTGAGTCAAAATGTTGATTGTTGTTGAGGTTGACATAACGGGTGTTGAGAGAGCACACTTGCACAGCTGGTGGACTAATATTTTGGATGGAAAAACTAGGCCACCATTTAATAAGAAATTTCCTTTGTAATTCTCGGAATTTGGAGGGGAGAGAGTAGTGATATGAAATTGCCAACTCATATCCAGGCAATTAAGAAATTGCTGAAAAAGCTAGCAAAGGGTCTTCACTGTTGTTGAAATTTTTTGTAAAAATAGATATCCTTCCAAAACTGAAAGTGGAAAGATTTTTTCATTTAAACCGAAAAAATTAAACCATTGTTGAAACCATTTTGAAATGTTTTTGGACAAGTTTTGTCAAAAATGAAAAACCAAGAGTTGGTTGTATGAGTTAAACGAAAGTATGAAACCAAGCTTTTTGATATCTTTATAAGAAATTTTGGGGAATGAAGGATTGAAAATGGGCGTCTTTGATAAATTCCAATAAGCCAATCTTGAGGTCTTAAAACCTTTTTAATTTGCATTTTGAAAAAGCAATTCTATTGGGATCATTTCTATCAGGATTGGGTAATCTCTATTGAATCAGTATCAACTAAATAAATTCATAAAATGTTCTTGTTTTTAATAAATCATCAGGAATAAAATAAAAATCTGGAGGGAAAATTTTTGATAAAGTTTTGCATAGTTTTGTCCCAATATTCGGGTTCAAAATGCAAATTGATTGAGTTATACTTTTTCAATGTATGAAAAGTGGGATTAATGTCGACAGGTTTGATGGAGAAGGTGATAGGTTGGTGGTATGGTAAGGGCTTGTTGGTAATTTCTTGGTGGAGATGAAGAAACAGATTCTTCATCAAGAAGAGTAAACCGGTTGGTTGGGTGATAATGTTTTTCTGTTTATTGGGTTTTGCGGACCTTGATTGTGAAGTTTTGTTTGTGGGGTAAT